ATATATAGGAATAGGAATCCAAACCTATTAAACCTATCAAAATGTATTAAAGTACACAATACATTTGTCAGTTTCTTTTCTATAAATATTAAATATAGAAATGTACTTCTAATAAGTTAGCAAACTTATTTTAATTTGACATCTATTTTAAAATGAATGATTAATTTCAGTAATTTGTTTTTAAATGTAACAGGTGCAGAGAAACATCTTATTCCCTTTTTAAAGCATTCCTCCTCCATCACCTGGCTGATTATTGGCACACACACATACAAATACAATTTTGCAACTTGCACCAAGAGTAGATATAACATGGCAGTGCTTCTATACCGATGACGCATGATGTCCCCTGGGTTATGAGGTGCTATTATTTTAACTCACATACTCTGATGTACAGCCAGTACTGAACTTCCCTAGAGACAGTTAAACACAGGTGTATAGACTGGGTAAAAGGGTCTGTCCCTTTTAGTGACACAAGTGAATGAATGATTTCACTCCAACTCCTTAAGTATGGTTGGCCATTTAGAATTGGGCTTCCTGTGTTGTATAACATGGACGCAGGATGTTGCTTAATGTATGTGACGTTCAAATTCACATGCTCAAAGTGTGTTTTGATGGTTCCAACTGGAGCTACAGTATATGAGAGTTGAATGAGAATAATTGGTTAATAATATTTGAAGCTGTTTTTAGAGGACATTAGTAGATTTAATAATTTTTGGAGGTCAGTTGTACTATGCATGCTTTAGTTAGCAGATGAATAGGTTTTTTCCCCAATGGCATTAGCTTTGCTTGAATGATATAGATGAAAAGTAGAACAGGGATTTACATGAGGGATTATGCAATGACATGATGTCCTTCTGTTACTTGGCAGCTCTGTGTGTGTGTGTGTGTGTGTGTGTGTGTGTGTGTGTGAAAGAGAGGAAGAGAAAGAGTCATAAATATGTTTTATGTTGTATCTGAAACTGTGGTGCTGCATCTATGAAGTTCAGAAACCTTTTCTTTTGAGATAGCTGGGCTACTTGGCACTAAGAGTCAGTATTAAAATTAAATACTGATTTAATTTTTTTAAGTGCTCAAATCACATTTTTCACAGCATTTAGAATTGAAATAGTCCTGCATTATTAAAGAACAAAATAGTATCCTGCAAGCTTGCCTTTTGGAGACAATAAATCCATTTGTTTACATGAAATTTGTTTTAAATCAATTCATTTGTTTTTCTGTCACCATTTACTCCCGTTCCAAACCCATATGACTTACTTTCTTCTGTCAACAACAAAAGGAGAAATTTTGCAGTACAGGTATGGTCACTTTTTTCACACAGTGAGTAGCGGCAAAGTATCATAACAATGCACATGACTTTTCTCAATTTGCAACTGAAATTGAAATCATTCACAGATAATCTTCCTCTTCAGTAAGCTGTTAACAGTTGCAAATGGATCATTAGGTCAGTGAGTTTAAGTGTTTTATCTGAGTAAGTGTTTTAATTTGTAACAACATGAGGGTGAGTAAAAGACAATTGTCATTTTTTGGGTTAACCAATCATTTAACAGCCAAAGAGCTCAATTATGGAATTGTTAATAAGGCCAAATTAGCAGTTTATGCAGCAGCAATGTCACACACAAAGAAAAGCATATATGTATGTATACATATTACAGTGTTTTTTAAAATAGTGTAGGATTTTGAGCTTATTGTGATCACTTTAGACAATTCCCCATTTAGATCATATTGCATTGTGTATTAAATAAAAAACATAGATCAATGAACTATGTAAAAAAAGTTTCCCTGCAGAACCAAGATAAGTGCAGAAAACCCTTTACAACCTATTGACTCTCTGAAGGTAATTCTTTAGTCACCCTTTTTGAGATCGGAACACGCTGTGTGGGTTGGAGGAAAATTAATTCATTACATTTATCTTATTGCTTTTTGTTGTCTGTTTGTGTTAGTTATGTATGTGGAAAATGCCCTGTGTGTGTGTGTGTTCAGAAAAGCTTTCCTCATCACTGGTTGACTAAATTCAATTTCTCAGTCCAGTAGGGCTGGGCATTGTTCAAAAATGTTCGATATCGATACCGATACCGATACCTTGACTTCGATACCAGTTCCTGAACGATACTTTTTTCGATACCAATTTTATGAAATCAATTTTAACAAGATTACATTATCTAAAAAAAAAAAACGGTTACACTTTACTTGAAGGGGTGTGCATAAGACTGACATGACACCTTCATAATCATGACATGACACCTACATAATCATGACATGACACATGTCATGAATATGAAGGTTTTTTATGCATGTTTATGACAACTGTCATTAAGTGTCATTCGCTCGGTTATGTCATTTTTAATGCAAAGATTACATTGAGATGTCTTTGTTATGGGCTATGTTTAGGGGTAAGGGTAGGGGTAGGGTTAGGTTAGGGTTAGGTCAAATAATGTCATATTTGCATTAAAAATGACATAACCGAGCGAATGACACTTAATGACAGTTGTCATAAACATGCATAAAACCTCCTTCATATTCATGACATGTGTCATGTCATGATTATGAAGGTGTCATGTCAGTCTTATGCACACCCCTTCAAGTAAAGTGTTGTTACCAAAAAAACGTTGGTTTTATTTTTAAGCTTGATGTTTATACAATCTCAAAGACTCATCTCCTGAGCCACTGCACAAAGGAACAAAGTGTAACCAACACAATAAATCAGTGCAAATAGTTTTAATAAAGCTCAAATAGTCTTCAGTTTACACATCTGTTAGGCATTTACACGAGTGCGTGTTCGTTTTAAAACGCAGCTCAGACAGAATCATGATTTCTATTTATTTTCCACTGATTTACTGATGAGCATTAGCAGCTTCCAGCGCTGTCTGCCTGTGTTCTCTCTTCCATGATCGCTGCTCTGACTCAGAGTCAGAGGGGTACCGAACGACGAGACGTTTTTCGATACTCGATGGTATCGAGGCAATTCGGTCGGTGCCTAAAAAGTATCGAACTCGATACCCAGCCCTACAGTCCAGTAATGGTTGCTCAACCATGTACTGAAAATATGTGTACTTCAAATGTCCTTTTCATGGTTATTGTGGCTTTTTGCTTCATGGTTGATTAAGAATATTTAAAACAGTTTACTTAAAGGGCTATTTTTATGCGGTTTTGGCTTTGGGTCTTGCACATCCCACCAGTATGTTCTGTCAGAGCTCATACTGCCTGTCAGACTCCTGACTGTAGTGTCTGTGGTTTCGTGTGGGCTGGCTGTGAGTAAGACTGACGGAAGATGTTCCGTTAATGATGTTCTGAGCTAATAATAAGCATCAGGAAGTGACTATAAAGACAGTTTAAATGCAGGTACATGATTTCAGTGACTGCTTATTGCTCTGTAAGTAGATGAAAATTGTACAATTGTCCTTCACGTTTTCACACGACCCAAGTACATTTAAATTGTTTCCTCCATGATGCAGAGTTGATGAGTTTTTGGCAATGCATTTTTCTTATATAATGGCTGTGCATTCATTTTATGCAGATTTTTAGTGGGATAGTTCTAGTTTTCTCAAGTGCAGAGTATTATTTTATCTGTGTTAATTCAGTACATACTGTATGTTTATGCTTTTTGTGGAGTATGGTGCAAAGAAACCTCTCTGTTGGTAAAATTGGCCTTTAAAGGAAAGTTCAGTAGGAGCGAGTTCATTTGATCCTGTCAATCACAACACAGCATTTACAGGGCTGCTCACCTCGTTCCTGTGACAATACTTCCAGTATGTGTCCCCATCTCCAACTTTATTTTATTCACTTCTACTGTATTATGAATTAATGTCCAGAGAGATATTTAGCATGATTTGGGATGTTCCACAGAGCATCTTGTGCATCAGTGGAAGCAAGAACGTGTAACATTTTGTGCAAAGATCACTTAATCAATGTGATTCATTTGCTTGTTTTATTAGTGAGCTAGAAATAGTTCAGAATTTTTAATACATCTTATTAATTTTACATAATAACATTTTAGCATCATTTAAATTGTTCAAAACAAAAATGTTCAGGTTTAATTTAGGTTTGAATTACAGATTACTGTATACAGTATACATGACCATTCAAGAGTTTGGGGTCAGTCATTTTTTTATACTTATATATATTTTATGAAAGGACACATTACATTGATCAAAGGTGACAGTAAAGGCATTTGTAATGTTACAAATATTTTCTATTTCAAATAAATGCTGTTCTTCTGAACTTCTGAACCCAGAAAACACAGTTTCTAATTACAGTTCAAATTACAGTTTCCAAAAAAAAGCAGCACAACTGTTTTAAACATTGATAATAATAAGAAATGTTTCTTGAGCATCAAATCAGCATATTAGAATATTTTTTAAAGAATCATGTGACACTAAAGACTGCAGGTATGGCTGCTGAAAATTCAGCTTTGCCATCAATTACATGAATTACATGTTAAAATATATTAAAATAGAAAAGTTATTTTAAACTCTAATAAAAATTTCACAATATTACTGTTTTTTTGTGCTTAAAAGACTTAAATGAAAAACATTTAAATATTTTTTTCCCCAAACTTTTATACTGTATTATATATGGTTTAAGAAAGAACTGTCTGTTTTATATTAGTAGTTCATGCACCCTAAATAGCATTTACTTTGACTATGTAAGTTCAGATGACTCAAATCTTTCTGTGAAGATGCCCGCTTAGTAGGTTATTTTCATTTACTCCCATTACCATATTCAAATGAATGTAATTGCTGTCTGGTGTGATTCCTGCCTCCCTGTGATGACTTTCATTTACCGTTGGCGAGAGCAGCTGGCTTTTAGAGCACATCCGCATGGCCCCTTTTAGACAAACTACAGTGACTCAGCACTTATTGACTGTGTGGTGGCCACTTAGTGGCTGAGTATTGGATGTCCACTCAGGATCTCAAACATATTTTATTAACCTTACTCATTCGCTGCCATTCTTTTTCTTGTCTTTCAGCCATCATCAACCCCAAAGCACCCAAAGAAACCAAAAGCTTCAATTTTGATTACTCCTACTGGTCACACACCTCAGTAAGTCAGAACTACTTCAAAAAAGACATTAAAATGAAATGAAACTTAGAAAAATCAGCATTACTTGCAGTGAAATACACTAAACATGTTGCATTTAAAAGATGAGAGAAGTAATGCCTTCAAATGATCAAAGATCATATATTTCTCTTCATCTATCCACAGCCAGAAGATATCAACTATGCCTCCCAGCAGCAGGTGTACAGAGACATTGGAGAGGAAATGTTACTTCATGCCTTTGAGGGCTACAACGTCTGTATTTTTGCATACGGCCAGACTGGGGCCGGTAAATCTTATACCATGATGGGCAAACAGGAGAAGGACCAGCAGGGGATCATTCCACTGGTAAAAAAGATGCAAGAATAAGCAAATATGAAGAAGAATAAGCATTTCTAAATGTCAATTTAAGCACTTATATGCCAAGTTTCAGCTGCAAAAGTGGCCTTTTTGTGTATCTAAAGCACATATTGTCTCATTGGCATTGCTGTATAAATAGGAAGATGATAATGTATTCAGAGGCAATGTGAACAAGATCAATTCAAACAGAATTAAATGGCATGTCAAACACCAAGCTGAGTAGTACACAGTAAGAAAATGACCATTCACTTATTAAACTCTCTATTATGTCTGTCTCTTTCCTCTTCTCCCCTCCATCCTAACCAGCTGTGTGAAGATCTTTTCACCAAGATTAATGACAGCAATACTGATAACAACATGTCCTATTCTGTGGAGGTAAGATTTGGCCAAGCCCTTTTTTTCTATCTCAAATCTTTGTGTAGCAGCTTAATTCCAAAGCAACTTTATGTACGGAATTTTGGATTAATCTGGGCCCTGTTATCACAGTTATTATGATAAAATACCTATAGTAAAAAAAAATGTTCACTTCAGCAACATTTTTTTCATTGTACATTTTGTATATGATTTTTTTGTTTTAATGCTCAAGTAGAGTGTTTTTTGCTTTTAACAGTCTATTATTTTCGTCCTTTCAGGTTAGTTATATGGAGATTTACTGTGAAAGAGTACGAGATCTTCTGAACCCAAAAAACAAAGGAAATCTGCGTGTGCGAGAGCACCCATTACTGGGCCCGTATGTAGAGGATCTGTCCAAACTCGCCGTCACATCATATAACGATATTCAAGACCTGATGGACTCAGGGAATAAGGCTAGGTATTCTCTTCTCTTCTCTTCTCTTCTCTTCTCTTCTCTTCTCTTCTATTGTTATGGAGTGTTTAAATCATGTTTGTATGACTAATTACAATTTTCCAAAAGTTAAAAACTATCCATGTAAAAAGTTTTGGTCAGTAAGATTTTTGTTTAAAAGACATTAATATTTTATTAAGCCAGGACACCTTAAACTGATTAAAAGTGACAGTGAAGACATTAAAATTTTTTTAAATAAATACTGTTCTTTTGAACTTTTTTTAATTATCAAACAATCCTGTAAAAAATGTATCATAATTTCCACCAAAATTGTTTTAATGGTACTGTATTTGTTGAACACATAATTATAAATGGGGAAACTTTTAGAATTGAATGAAAGTTCCAAATTCTCTGATTTGACTGTCATGATGCAATGACGTGGATTAAATGGATTCTGCCACAAAAACAACTAAAGATAGTCACCTGACCTAAACTAATTTTTGAATTCTGTTCGAGAAGCCGTTTTATTATAGCCAGTTTACATTCTATAGCCAGGTGCATTCTCTTTATACTTAAGCATTTAGCAAGAGCATATAGAGGTGATTTAATGTAGTCATTAAATTATATGCTGTCTTCTAAAAGCCGTACATGGATTTTTGGAAATTTTGAGGGTTGCCATAGAAACAAATCATTTCTGAGTCTGAGGACCTGCTATTTTGTAATTACAGTAATTCTGGCACAATGTGAAAGTGTTCTGTTCTGTTCCTTGTTCTATTCTATTCTGGCTTCTAGAAATAACCAATAATGGTCTTTTTCTGCACAGACCAGTGGCCTCACTCCTCAGTACAGTCCTGGTCACATTTGTTTATTCAAGGTCTTCATGGCCACATTGAGAGAGAAAAAACAAATATTTACTTATTATTCAGGCTTATCATCATGGAAACAAATGGACCATTTAATTCCAGGAGGCATTGTGTTAGCTTCAGTCAACGGTTCTCTAATCTCTAAGGTGTTGAGCTGCACCCCTGCCAATACACTACACTTCCCTCCTACACTATACATTTAGCCTGTTATGTAAGTTGATGTTTGGCAAAACAGACAGCAGCTATTTGTGCATCTGATGAATATGAACTACCATACAAAAGTTTGGGGTTGGTAAGATTTTTTAAAATGTTTTTGAAAGAAGTCTTATATGCTCTCTAAGACATCGTGATCAAAAGTACAGTACAAATAGTCTTACAATTTTAAAATAAATGTTTTCCATTCTTCATTCTTCTTTCTATGTGCTTTAAAATGTAATTTAGGCTATTCCTGTGATGGCAAAACAGAATTTTCAATAGCCATCACTCCAGCGTTAAGTAACAAAAGAACATTTCTTATTATTATAATGAACATATCATTATCAATGGTTAAAACCGTTTTTCTACTTAATATTTTTGTGGAAATTTTGATTTCAGGATTTTCTGATTAATATAGAAAGTTAAAAAAATAATTTATTTGAAATAACGTTTCGGTAACAGGGAAAGTCTTTACTGTCACTTTTGATCAATTTAATTAATCCTTATTGAATGACAGTATTTTTAACAAAAATTGTACCGCCCCCAAATGTTTGAACAGTACTGTACATTGGAGATTGGATCTAAATACATCAGGAAAACATTTTGTTGATCGTTAAACTTCAGTTCAGGATCAGGGATCAGATGATTCACAGAAGTAGAAGTTAGCGCAAATGCTGTGATATGATTTAAAGAGACTTGAGAAAACTCTAAATACACAGCACTTCCTCACATAGATTGGAGTCTGAGAACTCAATATGAATTACATTTCTGAATGGTGAAATTCTGTTATCCAGGACAGTAGCTGCTACTAACATGAATGAGACCAGCAGCCGTTCACACGCTGTCTTCAACATCATCTTCACCCAGAAGCGTTATGACTCAGAGACAGACAACACTTCAGAAAAGGTACATGCTGCTGTTGCATATTACGGACCCTGTCAGTCACAATAAACAGCTCAGTTTAGAGCAAGAGGTTAGGCCACTTGTCTCCCACCCTTACAGGGCTTTATTGGATGACGTTTGACATTGGGAGTTTTTTGTGGGGGGGGGGGG